ATTATAAGTTCAGATTCCATTTGTTTGAAAAAGAGGAAGAAAGAAAAAGAAACATCATTCGGGTCTCCACTATTGGCGATGATATAAGCATCCCCCAATAGTGGGATTCCGAAACCCTTCAGTTGCGATGGTGCTGATCTCTATTGGTGGGGAGGTCCACCTGTTGGGAACCGGGTCCAGCGTCCCACATAAAGAACACACACACACACACACACAAAAAAAAAAAAAAAAGAACACAAACCTAAATATTCAGAACGCTGGGCCCAGTTGCGAGAATGTGCTGCTCCCCACACATAGATCGGAGCATTTTAAAGGGAAAAATAAAATAGAAAAGGATTCTTACAGGCACAATAAAGATCAAGAAGACCCCAAAAAAAAAGGGGAAACTTTGTCTGACGCCCCTGTAATTTCCATTATTTTGCGTTGCACCCCTCCGACGACCGACTTACCCTGTCCGGGCCTGTCGTGCCCCTCTGACCACGATCTCCAATAAAATCCCGGCGTCGGCTGGGCCTGAAACAGTTTTGTTATGCCCCAACCGGTACCTGTTCCAAAGTTCAAATATGCCCCAACCGGATAGACATTCAGTACCAGAACCAAAATTTTCCATATGCCTCTACCGGTAGGGTGCATGTTTTCAGCGCACCTCTATGGCTACGCACATGCGGCCACTTCATTTCTCTCTCTCTCTCTCACACACACACACACACACACACACACACACACACACGCACACACACACACACACACACACACTGTGACACACACACACACACACACACACACACACACACACGCACGCACGCACACGAATAACAGAAGATCAAAGGAGAGAGAGATTGAGCCGGAGAGAAGAAAGCGGAGGAGACATGTGGTAAGTCATTGAGATATAATAAGTGAATAAATAAATGAATAAGATAAATAAATGATGAGTGGATAAGGATAGGACGAGGGTTGGTAGGCTGGGCCCGTTTCCCGGTTTCTTTCGAAAAAGAGATTTTCTAGCTTAAAAAAAAAAAAAAAAAAAAAAAAAAAAAAAAAAAAAAAAAAAAAAAGGAAGGACGAGGGTTGGTAAGTAGGTTTGTTGTCTTCTTACTTAGGCAAACTTCACAGCAAGGGAATTCCGCACATGTGTTGCTCTCTGATGGTTTGTCTGCAGGCCGGACGGATCTAGTATTTGATATTGAAATCTACATATGGGTGGTAAGCCGCCGAAACGGTTTAAGCCACAACACAGCCTGAGTTCGATTGTGCGTGCAACTCGCGCTCACCTCAAAACTGGGCCAAGGACGCCCCCACTACCAATTATATGAGAGAGGTTCATTTTGCATTGGTAACAGATAATTGTAATTTTTCTACTCTTTGGTTGAGGTGTACTTTCTTTCCTTTTTTCAAAAGCCTCTGCTGTCATACCTTCCATCGGTAGACACGCATGGTTTATCAGTGCCACTGTATTCTGGCACCTATGGACCCAGAGAAGAACCGCCCCTCGGTACTCATGGGGCCGCTACTGATGTTTCAAGCCCAACGCGTGTGACTGAAGCCCGGAGCACCGTCCCGGGTTTGGGGCGTAGGATCATCCCATTGCTCTGTATGCCTTGTCATTGGAGTCTCTGGTGTCCTGTGTTCCCTCCTCCTACGGGTCTACGAAGGCGGAGTTTCGGGATACATTTTTTTTGTATATATGATTTGGTTGGATCCTTTTTCCCTTTCTTTCCTCTCCTGTTTCTCCTTGTTTCTTTTTCTTTTTCTTTTTCTTTTTCTTTTTCTTTTTCTTTCTTCTTTTTTCCTTTTTCTTTTCTTGTTTTTCTTGTCCTTTTCCTTCTGTCTGTTCGTTTTTCCCTTTTTTGTTCCTCCCCTTTTTTGTGAATGAGTTCATGATCTCCCGCCCGGCGATATTTCGATAGTATGGCTGCCCGCGCAAAGTATTCCTCAAAGAATGACGATGGTGGGGCACTATTTTAGCAATAGGAATATCCCCGGTATCTTTTTTTGATGCGCGCGCTGTTCGTTTGGCTGTTTTCGAATTATGAGCCGAGCGGTGGCAGCGGTGGCAGGAACTCCGGTTGTCAGAAGCTCGGGTGGAAGGTGATAGTGACATTTCCGGGGATGTCGGTGCCACGTCGTTCAGCTCGACATAGACTACCAGGTGGATCAGGAGTTGCTGGATCGTACGATCAACGACGAGGAAGATGTGGTGTAAGCTTTTGCGCCTTCCTCTCCATACGATTGCGAGTGTTTTTGTTGGGCCCGGTATAGTGCGCTACACCTTCATTGGCTCAACTTCACGCATGCCTCACCTTTGCGCAATCTTCGCGCGCCACGCTTGCACGCTGAGGGTATGATTGTGTGGTACTTCTTCCTGTTCAAACTGCTGCGCTGGGTTGCACACAAATTAATGGGGTTGGGCTTGATGGCGCTAAATAGAGAGGATGCACATGAGAGGTGGGGGATTGCCATTGAGGTCTCAGCATATGTTTTGCTCGCATTCATCACCCTGCTAGCGTTTCTTTCCTTTCCTGTTTTTTTGCATCTCCTGCAGGCACTGCCGCCGCCATCATCGCCATGACTCCCGAAACATGTGTGACGAAGAAGCAGGTGTTCCCTCTGATGAAGCCGTGTACTAGTGGCTAGCGGCAGAAAAGCGCTTCAGGGATCGCCACTACCCTCCCTGCTTTGGCTGCCGTGGCTAGCTTCCCATACTACGTGGAACTGCCTTTGGGGATGCAGCCAGTCAGTTTGCATTCGCATCTATCCAAGTCATCACGTCGTGTTGAGTGTTTGTGTATTTCTCTCGAAATGAGGATGGGAAGATGATGCTTCAGCTCTAATGGCTAATTGTGGCGGTAGTTTTCGATGAAGAGGACGTGTACTGTTTTGTGTAATATGTGCTTTCTTTGCCTTGAATAATGTTTCGGTGTGGGATATTCTCTGCTTTTGCCGTACGTATTCTCTGCGCATATCATAGATGGTATATGCATTGTTTTGATTGATTGAAATGTTCTCGAGATGTCTGTGACACCTCTCTTGCTCTAGATCTTTTGCGAGAATTATCGCCCTCCTCGGGACTCTCTATGGTCATAGCTTTGTGACTTGTGCATAAATTCGCCTCTGTACATAATATCCCTCCACATAGATGCTGGCCATCAAGTCGGCACAAGGAGGAGATACTATGTTGGATGGTGCTGCCACTTGTCGCACATGTCGTGATATTCGTTGTAGAAGTCGATCGTCATACATTGCTTTCGTCATCCTCTCTTGGTCAGTATACACCTTCCCCCTGAGTATTTTCTACCGTGGGGCTGCGTGTGTCCGATTCTCGTTCTCCCATGGCATCTCCGCATTGGGTTACGGATCGGGTGGGTTGGGGCATCTAAGGGGTCTGTACCCATACGCCCACGTTTTTTAATCATCTTCTTTTGAATGGACTGGAATCCGCGTCATCACCAAGTGAAGTTGCGACCGGATGTGTTGCTTTCCCGAACGTTACGCTGGATGCTCACTCACGGCTGAATCCATTCTATTCTCTATTTCTGTACTTGTTGGCGGGGATCCAGGATTCATATCTTTCAATAAGCATTGTCCGTGGCTATGTCTTACAGAATTGGCTTATGATTCACTCATCACTATGGTTGTGTCTTTCTGCTTTTAAATTTGTCTTCACCTCCTACACCCTTACGGAACGACCACGGTTAGACACGTGGCTGATATACCCTGCCCACCCGGGTCCTCCGTAATGGTGTAGCGTTCTTGTGCGCTGGACTGAGTCTACACGTACTACCCATCCACGTGGCTGTCGATCGCCATGCACAAGACGACTATAGTTTATGCATAAATCACCTTATGAATTTTTTCGATTCGATATAGACGCCCACGTACATATGGCATGCTTCAGATCGAAATACATGCCCACTGCTACGTCCATTTTATACTATGAATCTGGGCTACCAGACCCGCACGGGCCCGGGTGCCCAGCCGTGCAAGCGGGCCCGGGCGGGTCGGACCTAGTCGCCCAGGTGACCCGGGCAAGTCCAAAAACCGGTCAATTTTTTATTATTATTATTTTTTTTCAGCGGGGCTAGTTTGTGCTCCCCGAGAGCTCTCCAAATCTGTGGTCTTTAAAATTTTTGGAATAGTCGTGTTTTGGGCCTGGGGGGGGGGGGGGGGGTAAAGGGGGTGCACGGGTTTGGGGTGGGCAAGCAGGGCAGGGTTGCTGGGACCGGTTGCTCCGACCGGTTGCAGCAAGTGCTTGCTGCAAGTGGTTGCTCGAACTGGTTGCAGCAAACGATTGTTGGAACCGATCGCAGTAACCGGTTAAAGCAACCGGTCCATGCAACTGGTGCAGCACCTCTTTGCTGAAACCGGTTGCAGCAACCGGTTGCTGCATCCGGTTGCATGAACCGGTTGCATCAAACAGTCAAGGCAACCGGTTCCAGCAACCCGTTGCATAAAACAGTAAAGGCAACCGTTCGCAGCAGCCGGTAGCATGAAACAGTCAAGGCAACCGGTTCCAGCAACCGGTTGCACGAAACAGTCAAGGGAACCGGTTGCATGAAACAATCAGGGCAATCAGTCTCTGTTGATCCATTGCTGGAACCGGCCGCGGCAAGTGGTCGCTGTAACCGGTTCCAACCAACAGCTTCATGCACACACAACGGACACACACAGCAGAAACACACATTAGTCTCACACATCACAGATCAGCACAGAAAGTAGAGTGACAGAGTCACAGACACTGTGTTTTTTTTTTCCCGAAGTTCTGAAACACAGAAACTCTCTCTCTCTCTC